AGATCTTTTCATATCTTTATAAATGTACTTTCTTTATTATACAAATGTAACTTTTGATCCAAGATAAATTATACAGCTAATTGCAGCTTTTCTTAATTATTAAAGTGTGAGTGTTGAGTACTTTAGCTAAGTGTTTATGCATGTAACAGAATCTGGCAACCAAAATTTCATGAAAATTTTGTTACTCCACCATTCATTTTTTGTTGGAGGAAGGGTGGTRCAGGAAATGGTTCATCTGAAAAAATTTTAAAATGTTTACTCGTTCATGAGACAGTGTAATGTGCATAGCCTTGCATACAAATTTACCAGATAATTATTTGTTAATCAGTCCACTTAAAAAACTCTATTTTTGTTCTCAGATTATAGACTGTGCAAACACTATTTATCCATGAAACAGTATTATTTTGAATATTACTGAATTATTACTAATGCTATGTGGCTGCATGTGAAGTAAGTTTCAGTGCTATTTGGAGTGAATTTACTTGGTTAGTGAAACAAAGTTGTATGGTTAGGACTAACAGAAAAAAAAAAAGAATTAAGGTGCTGATACATGGTGCAACATTACACTCAACATTGCATGCAACAGGACTGTTGCAGCGTGTCTACGCCAAACTTGTTTCACGCAAYGTTGCAACAAATCTGAAGTTCAAATGCGCTCTACTTTTGCAACATTGTGTGCAACAAATTTCATCATGTGAACATGGCATCAACATTACCTGCAACATTTTAAAATTTCCAGCCAATCAGCTTGCACCAAATTTATACCTGCTGACCAAATATCTTAACATAGCAGGCTGACACAAGCCATGTTGCGTGATCTTGTTGCAATGTGTGTCACCCCAATTCAAGTTTGTATCTTGCAATGTTGTGTGCAATGTGTCAGCACCTTTAGTGTCTACTACAACTATGTTTTCTCCTGGGCCAAGTAAAATCACTSTAATACAAATTAATACTAATTAATGGATATAGTTTTGCTCTACAAATCGAATACAGCTAGGTCCCCCCCATTTTATTTTAATAACTTAGCAGATTCAAATTAAGGGCAGATCTAGAAGATTCAATTGGGTGAAGGGATGGGGTAGGTGGGTGGGTGGATTAGCTTCATCCATAAAATGAATGCAAATCTTACATWCTCAAAAACACTACTTTTTTGGAGGAATTTCTGAAAAGGGAATATAAATGGATTTATGAACATTGACAAACTTCTCCTAGATCTGCACCTGAGTTTTTTTGATTAAAAATTGGTTGGAAAAATTTTTTTGTACAGCAAAAAGAACCTTGGGTTAATTTAATTTTTTCTTCGAAAAATGTTTAACGGAAATGAAACATTTGTTTTGCCATATTTAGCATTTATAATGTACAGTATTAAAATTTCCTTTTTAGTTTTAATATTAATATATAATTAAGTGGCTTCTATTGCTATCTTCCTGGACTTGCAAACATTCTGATATATTCCTCCACTCGTTGTTTAAAGGAATCCTGTAGGATTTTTAAGAAATGAAAGTTAAGTAAATTATTATAATCATATTTATTTATATAAAGTGGTAACCGGTCATTTTGCTACCACGCACGTCACTTTCACTACCAGTCGTTCTGCTACCACCCAGAGTCCTTTCGCTACCATCATGAAGTCCTTYTGCTACCATTGGAAATTACCAAAACAAAACTTCGATGAGACTTGTWWAAAAGAAACATAGTCYCTTGAAAGASATTTGTATRTGATTTTGAAGCATATTTGGAGCGATCATTTCAMGACACGATCAGTGAAAGTGGAGATCTAAATGTGACCAATGACAGCTAGCATTAACTTAGCTACCATACCAGTATTTGATAAAGTGGTCAGAAAATGGTGAAAAAATAAGTAAAAATGCTATTAAACAAAATTTGTGATTCCCAGCCATGGCTTTTCATTATAACATGAGGGTCACTGAATGTGTCCTTATTGTGCTGGATTTGTATGGGGGTGGATGGAGGGGACAAATACTTCCTCTTCCAAAATTTAGGTTTCTATTTTGTGTACTACTRTTGCCAAAAAATCAAATCAATCATGAATTAAATTCTACATTCTTCCTTGCTAGGATGACAGAAAAACCCTTTGCAGCAATTTGTTTCTTTCCACGGCTTGTACTGATGAAATTCCAGTACATTTAAGAGTAACTGTTACACCAAAAAGTAGAAGTTCACCCCTCTCCTCCTGCTACACAACTATAGGACCTTTTGTTACACCACTATGAATCCTGGATAGAAATKCTCATCATTTTAAGGTAATAACAATGCATTAATTGGCAAATTTTTATCCTAACCTTATTTTTTTCAAACTGTTGTGATGCTTCTACATTTAATGGATCATCAAAATTTAATAAATCCTAAAAAAAGATACAAAGATGAAAAAAATGAGAAATTTCACTTGAGAGATAATTACTATCTTGCCTATTTAAAAAAAAATTAATATTATCATGAGCATAAATTTTGGTGATGTTTTATTTTGACTTACTGTAAACAAAGAATTTAGACCCCATACAACATCCTATGAATCAAAATGAAAGAAATTGGAAGAATAAATAAGAATTAAGAGGAAAATCTGAGAAATTTATAGGTGTTCCATAGTGCACTGTAGATTATATATTTACCTTTAATTTTCTTGTTGGCGCCCATCCTGAGCCATCTAAYGTATGTTGTCGCAATAGACTGTTGAAATTAAACAAAAGAACTTTGTGTGTCTTTTCAGGGCTTGAAATAGCAACCTGCTAATGGCCAAAATTCAGGTCAAATTTTACTACTGGCTGTAGGCTAAAACAACTTTGAACTGCCAAGTGAAAAAAATAAAGGCAGGGAAAATGTGTTTTTTYTTTTTACAAAAATAAATTATTATTGGTCCTGCCCAAAATAAAAATAAAAACTGTCTTTTTATTTTTTATTTTGAACCCTCTCTTTCGCTTTAGGTCTTCAAATAACTATTACAGTGCTAATACTGTAATGCCACGTAGCAACAAAATAAATTGAAATGTAGAATGAAAACAGAGCATCCTAACTTTGGGTAGTCGAGCCAATCAGAAACCTAGAATTCACAAAAATGGTATATTTGATCTTGATGTTATGTGTAAACAACTAGATATTTTGAAAGGTTATTATTTACTGCTGGCTCAACTACCCAAAGTTGTAATTTATTGTTTTCATTCTATAATTTGATTGGTTTTCACAGTCTACGTGGCCCTGGTATAGTAGTCACACTGTACAATATTTGACTGCATGAAGACAAGGTCATGGAAATATCAACAATATCAAATATCAACATCCATATATGTTTGCACAGTACATATACACTGTACCTTAGACAAACTTCTCCTGATTCACTTATATTTGGATGCCAGATCTTTGTCTTGCAAGTTACTGTTGGTGGCTGCAATTAAACAATAATTATTATTATACAGAAAACCTTTACAGAAAACCTTTTTTCTATTAAAATCTCTCAATTCGGACTCTCAAGGCAGTTGACTGGGATTTCCAGGCGTAAATACTGTATAGGCAGGCATGGCCATTATCATTGTGATATTGATTGCAATGTGCCTCAATGTCAAATTTGAACGTATTGTTTCAATTCTTATTGTGGAGTTACCCAAACAATTTCTGGTTGGGAATTGAGAATGCTAATAAAGTAAGCACAGCTACTAATAAGTATATATAAGTTTTAGCAGATGGTGTTCATAGTCTCGGAGACAGTTTCTGCACTAATTTATACCATTACCAAGTGACCAGCCTTATATTAATATATTTAGAATCCAATTTCCTTTGGTTGGGTTGCTACTTACTACAGAAATTTATGTGCAGATGCAGTGCACTACTGTAATCAAGTATTTCTTACTTTGTGTTTATGTCATACCTTAATATTATATTCTTCAGGAACAACTATATGAAAAATAAATATTCCATCTTTCCAAAATCCTTCATCTAAAGTTAAAAACATATAAAGACATAATAGATTGGACATGTAGACAGCATAAGGATATATGTAGATTTGAATAATAGTCATTTAAAGGGCTATTATCAAAGCGTTTAAGGGTTACCAAGCTGTGGAAGAGTAAAAGAATGCTTCTAGCTCTTTTGGCTGAGAAAATCATGGTGATCTGTAGGGGGTTTATAGTTGGAAGCACAGGTGGCATAGCGGTGAGAGTGCTTGCATCTCATCAATGCAACCCAGGTTTGAGTTCCGATGAGCTCAGTGTCGTATGTGAGTAGAGTTACTAGTTGTTTCTCTCCTGTGCCTCGAGGGTTTTCCGGGTTCTCCGGTTTTCCTCCCTCCATAAAAATCAACTTGTAAATTCCAATTGGAATCCAGTGGAAGAAGAGCCACTCTGTGGAATCCACTGTTAATCCCATTATTTATTATTTATTTAGTTGTCATTTATGGGGTCTGATTGCAGTTTAGGTGGATTTGACAAACCCCCTGAATCAGCCCAGAACTTCCACACACTCCAATGAATACTACAGTGTATAATAAAACATAAAGACAATGAATAAATCCCTACCTGGAACTACTGTTAAATGAAAGTCACATAGGATATTTGGGTTTTTAAAATCAACTTTACAGGTTGCTGTTCATGGGAAAAAAAGAAGAAAAACATATACATAAGTGTAAAGCTGGAAATTGTGGTGACTGAG